AAATGTTGTGAAAAAAAAAGTATTTCCTAACATTTTTGCAGATACCTATCTTTGACCTACCGATCGGTTCAGTTCTTTTGACGAACAAAATCGGGAACTAGTATCATTTATTTTTGGTGCTCAATTACTTGATGTTTAGCTATTCGGTGCTCGGCTACTTCACGAAACAAAGGGGAGTTTCTGTTTATTTATCGTTGGTTTATATTACTGTTTATTTTAAAATCGAATCGATTAATTTCTTTGTGCTGCTGTTATTCTAATTTTCCTAAAGTTCACGTGACCGAATCCTTTGAATTGTTAAATTCCCATAATTTTACATAAAGTTCATGTAACCGAATCCCTTGATTTGTTCAATTCCCATTTTACCCTATTTATTTTATGTGATAGGATTTTTGACTAGTATTAGACGTGTGTGTTGTTATTTTAAATGTATCGGCAATATTAGCTTGCTGTATTTGGCTTCATTTAATCCCAAAGTTTAAAAAAAAAAAAAAGCTCGAATTATTATTTTCTATTGCTTGCATTTATTGTTCATTGATCTCTTCATTGCACGTCATGTAGTTGGTAGTACATTGCATACTATCGCGTAGTGGTCGCCTTGTCACATCTAGTTCCCGTAACCTGACCATGGACCCATCTCAACTTGATGTCATCACTTGTCAATTAGCACAACTTGCCACTAGCCAACAACAATTACAAACTGAGATAGCCACTACTCGTAAAGCGAATAGAGATTTAGCCGCTAGGTTGTCCACTTTTAAGCAAATCCCTCGTTCGACTAATGTTGATAATTCTAAAGTGTCCTATAATAGACAGTATCGTTGTCGACAAGATGATCAGAAGTATTTTTGACATGACCGTCGGGATGGGGATTTGGTTTGTAAGCAAGAACGAGGTTATAATCGTCACGATACTCTTTCTCTTCCACGTCATAAGGAGCGTTTCTTTAAAACAATAAAGTAGATGCTCCTACTTTTGACGATTGCTTAGATTTTGAGATTTGTACTCAATGGAATGCCCTTAAATAAGGGAATTGGTTAGTGACTGAATATATTGCTGAATTTGAGGAATTTCGAATGAAATGTCATGTCATTGAGGATGAGGCCATGACTGTGAGTAGGTTTAGACAAGGTCTAAGAGATGATCTTAGGCTGAGCTTTTCCTTCGGGGTGTCACT